GCTTAAAAGTATCCAAAGAAAGGGAGATAAGGCAAGAGGAGATGCTAACTTCAGTTACTGGGGAAGGAAGGAGGAATGAGTGGATGGTGGAAAGGCATATAGATGGGTATAGCTGGATCTGTGGATGATCGATGGAAAGATAAATGGAAGGAAATAATGAAAAAAGAAAGGAAAGAAACAAACAAAACAAGAGAGAGGAGGAGGGAAGGAAGAAGGGGAGGAAGGAAGGGAGGAGAGAGGAGAGGTATGTGATTTGTCTGTGCTGGTAGAAAGATGAATATTTACATGAATAAATGAGCGGCGAGTGAGTAAATGAGAAGTAGATACATGGGTGTATGGATGGGGTAGGTGTGTGCGTAGATGGATGGATGAATGATTGGGTGGGATAGATGGGTAAATGGATGGATGGATGGATGGATGGATGGATGGATGGATGGATGGGGGATGGATGAGCAGAAGAATGGGCAGATGTGTAGGTAAGCAGGGAATGAAAGGATGGGTAGGTAGATGGATGCATGGGTAGGTAATGGATGGATGGATGGGTGGGTGAGTGAGTGGACGGGTGGGTGGGTGGGTGGGTGGGTAAACAGGAGGATGGGCAGATGGATAAGTACATTGGTAAGTGCCTGAATGACTCCAGTTGCATCTCTGAGACTCAGAAGGGTGTAGTTGCTGGGGAACACACTCTCGGTTCCAGCATGTTTGGGAGAGCCCAGAGTGGGAAGGCAGCCTTCTGTGGAGCTATGTGTGGCCCCAGACTGACCCTCAGACAGCACAGATCTTACAATGACAGTGTGTATCCTGTCACCTGGAGGGCCACCCTGCTCCTCTGGGCTCCTAATGTGTGGACCAGTCCCGTGTAAGAGGATCTGGCCACCAGATGTTAGGCTGGTACTAATGAGCCCAGCCTGCTGGTCACTAATGGGCCGAGGTGCTGGGACACTAGTGAGAGATGGAACTACAGATGATGGTAAGACAGACAGGTAGGCCTGTCTCAGGGCTTAGGGACCCACGCATTTCAGGACAGGCATGTTGGGAAGGTACGGGGCTAGCCACTCCTACAGATGAATGTCTAGTACCTTCTCGGGCACCCCAGGGCTTTCTCCCACCTCCCACCATGACCTTAAATTGAGAGGTGAGATCATATGGAGGCAGGCGGGAGCAGACTGCCATTGAGACACACGGTGGAAGAGACACGAGGCACGCTTGCTTCGTGGAGGGAACAGTGGCCCTCCAGAGCGAGCACTGGGGAGGGTACGTCATTACAGCCAGTTTGCCCATAAACTTGTTCAAGCGATTTATGAGGCTTGGTTGGCTTAGGGTAGGGGCGGCAGACTCGGGCAGCTTCTAATTGGAGCCGGGAGAGGAGAGATCCTGGGTTAATGGCAAACATACCCTTGTAGTGGCTGCCCCTGAAACTGCACTGCTGGCCAGCTACCGTATGTTTGTCTTGCTGACAGCACATCCTTGCAGGGACAGGAGACTCAAGGGTCTCAGCCAAGCCAAGGTGTGCACCGTCCTTCCAGGACATACAGACCCTGGGACTCGGGTCAGAGTGTTTCTGAGGTGGACTCACATCAAGGATTCTAAACAGGGCAGAGGAAGTTCCCAGCACCCGAGAGGTGGAATTTCTGCCCCAGGGCAGCTCCCAACCAGCCCGTCACATTCACAGGCCATGGTTCATAAACCCACCCTTTTTGTTTTGTTTTGTTTTTTGTTTTTCAGTAGCCTTGTGGTGTTACTCCAAGGGATACCTTGGCTCCTCTGTGCACAGTGTTCACAACCTCCCTGAGTTTTTGTCCCTTGTCCGGTTAGACACTGGTGTTAGGACAGAGTTTGCTGAGCCTTCGCTATGCTCTGGGCTGGGCCTTGCCTCCTTTAGACTTCAATAGAAAAGCCAGGAAAGAAAATCCAGTCTTATCCTGTCACCCACTGAATTTGGCACCTGGCAAAGGTCTGCTCACCGTCCTGCGGGGCCACTCAGCTGGGTGTGCTGACCCGTGACAGCCACAGCTGTCCTGGGACAGAGAGGAGGTGGTACCATACCGAAACCCATGCCTCGCCTGGCTCAGCAGCAAGGAGAGACACCCCTGAAGAGGAGGGTGGGCACAGGTGGGCGGCTGGCTGCTGCAAGGCCGCTGTCCTGTTCTCAGCTGTCTGCCGCCGCTACAGATGTGCTTTCTCAGAAGCAAGGGGACCGTGGGGGAAAGGCCTCGTGCGGGGGTTCTCAACCTTCCTAACGCTGTGGCCATTAACGCACTTCCTCATGATGCGGTGACCCAGGCATGACCTTATCTCACCCTCCTCATCGCTAATCTCGCTTGTTTGAATCATGAAGCGAGTATCTGCGGGTACTAATGACAAGGTTCACCAACAAGGTCTAACACCAAGGAACAATACTCTTAGTCACCCTGAAGCTGTCCTCTGGCTTACACGTGTACCTGTACACAGGCACACAGACACCACACACACACCGTGCACACACCACACACACTACACACAGAGACACGCTGCACACACACACACACACACACACACACACACACACACACACACCACACGCACGCACTCCCCACTGCACACACACACACACACACACACACCACACACACACACACACAGTGCGTACACGGCGGCCACTGTGCATACTACACCCTGTGCAGACACGCAGCACACGCTGCACACACACACGCTGCACATACACACGCACACACCACACACACGCACGTACTCCCCACTGCACACACACACACACAGTGCGCACACGGCGGCCACTGTGCATACTGCACCCTGTGCAGACACGCAGCACACACACACACACACACACACACACACGCAGCACACAGACACACACACACACACACACACACACACCACACGCATGCATGCACACCCGCACACACAGCAGTGTGGAGGATGAGAGACCTGAGAGACTTGGGAACCTAACTTGGAGGCTGAAGAGGCGAGACAGGCCGGGCTTGCCTGCCTGTGCTTGTGTCGGAATCTGCCGGCCCCTGGTACACTGCTCTCACATGCTGTTCTATCGGCAGGGTGCCAAGGAGCCTCAGTGCCCCATGACAGCCGTGCACGGCAAACCCTCAGTGAGCCCTGGCCACTGAGACGCTGGCCCACGCACCATTTCCTCCCCTCCCACCGCAGACCATGCTCACAGCCAGGAAGAGCTTCTGGCTGAGCTAGAAAATGAAGGCAGGGCCTGAGGTGAGCACTCGGGGCCTTTGTGATGCAAGCAGGATGGAACCCCAAGTCACAGCATTCCGCCACCCATCCCCCAGGCACTCAGATAACGATACTGACCACAAAATGTGGGACTTTAAGTCTTAGCCATCCCACAGCAAAAGCAAACGGGCAGATCATACAGAATCGGGTCTAGGTAGAGGACACAGTCAGCTCGATATTCACGGCCACTGGGTCCTTTTCAAGGTCGAGGCTGCCTTGTCGGGCTCAGTACAGAATGAGCCTCACATAAGCAGGATGCTCTATTGCTGAGTGCCACCATCTCGCCAGTCCAATATGACACCCGCAGGCGTGCAGAGCACCTTCAGGGAGGCAGAGCCCACGGTCCGCAGACTGCAGCCTCTGGGGAACCTCCTGCTCTGGTGGGGCCTGACCCCAGCCCTGCAGCACACGCTCACACCTGTGTTCATGAAGGTCTCTCAGTCCCCTCTGAGCCTCAGCCTCTTGATGGTTTCCTCTGGGCCTCCTTTGGGGCAAAGCCTCCAGTGACCACCAAATTCCCCTCGCCACCCCCGGTGGGGTTCAGTGGTGCTCAGGAAGCCACATCTTAAATAGATGTCCATGCTGACAGCTCATGACACCTTTCATGTGAGTGCTCAGCCCACTTCCCACTTTCACAGTGTCTGTGTCATGCCTATGTGTCTGAATGGTGTGGCCTCATGGTGGCTTTTCTTAGTAAGGCCTAGTGATGGATCAGCAGGGTTGGGTGAGTATCGAGGGACCCCCCAGGCACTGGGAAGGCTGTGGCACCAGAAAGCGATGCTCTGGCAGAATTTTCAGGATGGAGGAGATGTCTAGCTTACTTGTGTCTTTGTGCATGATGGGAGGGGAACAGCTGGATGAGTCTACCTTTCCAAGGCTCCTGCCATCATTAAGGAAGAGGAAAACTGTGTCCAGGCTCAATCCTCAACCCAAGCTAAGTGCCAGGTCGGTTCTTGAAGCCAGTGTACGCCTCTGTGTGTCTCTGAGGTCATAGTAGGTGACACCAGCCACCTTCCCAGTCTCGCTCAGTCTTTGTTTAGCAGTTCCTTTTCATCTGTCCATGGGCACGCCTTGACTGTCCTGCAGGCCCAGACACACAGATGTCCCAAACTCCAGGGACACCTCTGAATGAGTGACATTGAAATGAAGTAGAAATTGCTGGTAGGCACCTTAGGGTGTGCACAGAGAGATGGACCCCGACCTGAACAGGAGCATGGACAGAGAACCAGAGCCAAGTAGACAGTGAGAAGACATTCCTGAGGGCTTCCTGGAATAGGGCATACTCAAAAAGAAATGTTCTGAGGGTCTGTGAGACGTGGCCCCTTGAGCCTGGCAAGTGAAATGCCGTCCTACACAAGGCATCACCCTCAGGCTTCCTCATTCTGAAAGGCCCCTGAAGTGTGGTCCCTCACAACATCACCCAGACCTTTTCTGCTGAGTGCCTCACCCTGGAAGGACGCAGGGCTGCAGGGCCACTGTGCAGGGCTCTGACACCCACTGAGGACACGTGTTACTTCCCTGCATTGTTGCATATTGACAAACACCCCTGAAAAGGCCTTGCAGGTCAGGGCTACCTGAGAGGAAAGCAGGCCACCCGAGAGCATGGAGGATTCCCGGGCACTGGAGTCAGTCTGCTAGCTGTGCCTGGGAGACCTCCAGGAACCCTGGAACCCTGTGAGCTTCCGGGGAAGCCTATTGTGACACGAACTGGCCCACAGAGGCTCATCGGGCAGTCTTGTGTCACTCAGGAGGGTGCTGCAGACATGTCCGACCCACAGGCGCTGGAGTCCCCTGCTGTCATTTTTGACAGTGGCTCCGGGCTCTGTAAGGCAGGGCTGTCTGGGGAGATTGGGCCCCGGCATGTCACCAGCTCCGTCGTGGGACACCCGGAGCTCAAGATGGCCTCAGCGGGAGCCAACCAGAAGAAATATTTTGTTGGGGAGGAAGCCCTGTACAATCGGGACACTCTGCGCCTGCACTCGCCCATCGAGCGGGGCCTGGTCACCAGCTGGGACAATGTGGAGAAGCTCTGGAGACATCTCTTCGAGTGGGAGCTGGGCGTGAAGCCCAGCGAGCGCCCTGTGCTCATGACGGAGCCCTCCCTGAACCCCAGGGAGAACCGAGAGAAGGCAGCAGAGGTGATGTTTGAGACCTTTGAGGTGCCCGCCTTCTACCTGTCAGACCAGGCGGTGCTGGCGCTCTACGCCTCGGCGTGCGTCACGGGCCTGGTGGTGGACAGCGGGGACGGGGTCACCTGCACCGTCCCTATCTTTGAGGGTTACTCCCTGCCTCACGCCGTCAGCAAGCTTTACCTGGCTGGCAGAGACATCACGGAGCTCCTCACACGGCTCCTCCTGGCCAGCGGGAGAGCCTTCCCATGCCCTCTGGATAAGTCCTTGGTGGATGACATCAAGGAGAAACTCTGCTATGTGGCCCTGGAGCCCGAGGAGGAGCTCTCTCGGCGGACAGAAGACGTCCTGAGGGAGTACAAGCTGCCCGACGGGAACATCATCTACATCGGAGACCAGCTATACCAGGCTCCTGAGGTCCTGTTCTCGCCAGACCAGCTGGGCACCCATGGCCCAGGGCTGGCACAGATGGCATCCAACAGCATAGCCAAGTGTGACACTGACATACAGAAGACGCTGTTCGGGGAGATCGTGCTGTCCGGGGGCTCCACGTTGTTCCAGGGGCTGGACGACAGGCTCCTAAAGGAACTGGAGCAGCTGGCTTGCAAAGGGGTCCCCATCAAGATCACGGCGCCGCCAGACCGCTGGTTCTCCACGTGGATCGGCGCCTCCATTGTCACGTCTCTGAGCAGCTTTAAGCAGATGTGGATCACGGCCGCAGACTTCAAGGAGTTTGGGGCGTCGGTGGTCCAGAGACGGTGTTTCTGAAGGAGTGCTCCACGCTCCCAGTAATCACATTGTCCCGTGCAAGGGGCACCCTTGGGAAGTGAACTATCTCCACGGCTTTAACACACCATATTCAATAAAAGAATGGTGAAGCATTTGACTGTGTCAGGCTCTGTTCATCCTCCGAGGAAGCATCGTTTTGGTGTGTGTGTGTGTGTGTGTGTGTGTGTGTGTGTGTGTCCATGTGACCTCAGGTATCCTTCCTCAGGAGCATCCATACCTTTCTTTCTGAGACAAGCACTAGGACCTGGTGCTTGCCACTTAGGGTAGGCTGGCTGGCTATGGAGCCTCCTGTTTCTGCGTCCCCAGCACTTTGTGGCAAGTACGTTACCAACTAAGCCATCTCTCCAGGCCTTTACCAGGACCCTTGTGACTCCGTGGCAGTTCTTCTTATGCCCTGTGCTCCTGCCCTTTCTTCGGAGAGAGCCCTGGTGCTGTTCAGCTGCAGAGCTCTGGCCCAGAGGCCAGAGGCTGCCCAGTAACGCTGCACGGGTAGGTGAGAGCTGCTCAGCAGTCAGCAGGAGGCTGAAGAGCTGGTCTAAGTGCTGTTGGGTCCTGAGAGCCCAAGGACCGTCCCCTGGAGGTCCCTGCCAGGCAGGACAGGGCTGTCCTGGAGCCTCTGTCCTCGGCAGGAGGTGACAGCCTGAACCTGGGGGCAAGCATCAGCAGCTCCGGACTCCTTACACCTCTTTGGGTGATTCTGTTTGTTTTCACTTTCAAGGATGTTTATAGCATCAGTTTGGGCTGAAATACTGGAAACAAAGTTAATGGCTGTCAGTAAAGTAACGGTTGACTAGCTGATGCATGAAGGGAATTTCCACATGCATTTGGTGGACCTCTCCCAAAATGTAATTGTCAGAGAAGTGGAAACTACATAGAAATCCTATGATCCCTTACCCCTCCTCCCTGCCTTGTGCATGCATGTGTGTGTGTGTCCATGTGTGCAGGTCGTGTATTGTATGCATGCGTGTGGAAGCCGGAAGCAAGCCAGAAGCCTGGGTGTCGTTCCCAAGGAGCTTGTCCACTTTGCACTTAGTTCACCGTGTTGCATGGATTGGCCAGCCATCGGGCCCACAAGAGCCTGGGACTATGTCCCTAACATTGGAGCCGCAAATACAGGCCTTCACGTTGGCCTTCAAAAAGAATAATTTTATTATTTTAGATACTTTATTTCATAATTGTGAGTGGTTTGCTTGCAGGTATGATGAGCACGTTTGTGAGAAGTTCAGAAGAGGGTTTCAGATCCCATGGAACTGGAGTTATGGCTGTGAGCCACCGCTCTGTGAGGAAACCTTTTCTAAGGAGATGCTACCCACGCTTCTATTCAGTCCAGATAGGGATCCCATGACAGACTTAAGTATTGATGCCAACAAAATTCAACTTGGTGAGCTACGGGTTTTACGGGGATCACTTACAGGGATAGGAATAATTCAAAGGATGCTACGTTACCAAAACTCACCCCAGTATGGCTGACAGACTATAAAAGCTGGAACCTGGAGAACATTGCAGTCTTTAGACAGATCAATGGGTTGGAGGGTATTTTTTTTCCTAGTGACTCAGTTGCTCTAAACCTTTTCCAGGCAGATAAAATGGTTTGTCCTTCCAGGCAGCTTGTCTGGTCTTGAGAGTCTTCTTAGCAGCTTGGTTCTTTTGGCCTGAAGGTGACTCTCGGCAGGGAGGGGACTAGTAAGTCTAGTCAGTTTCAGGAACTTCCCGAAGCTCTTTGAGTTGTTTACCTTCCTGTTTAAGGAGCTTCCCTGTAGGATGAAATGTTTACTCTCAGAGGAAACTATAAAACAGCCATTGAAGCCATGCTCTCTGGAAGGGTGGCCAGTGCTCTTAACTGCTGAGCCATCTCTCTAAGCTCCTCTGTGTCTGACTGGAAATTAAATCTGAGCCCTCATACTTGGGTATAAATAACTTTACTGACTGGGTTATCTTCATAGTAACCTGACCCCACACCTCTTTAAAAGAAAACGGTGGTGTTTTCCCAGGCATCAGCAAACTGATGTCCATGTGTGCATGTTTCATCCATCTTAAAAGGAGTTCTGTGGGGGAAACCACAGAAGGTGACTTTAGGACCAATATAGTAGTTGACTGTTCTCATGAGTAACCCCGAGTTAGGCCAGCCGAGCGGTGCTCCATGCACAGACAGGGGCAAGCTGTTATTTGGAGTGTGAGGAGGCTGTCGCCCGTGTGGGCAGTGTCCTCCGCCCTGTGCTCCACAGTGCGCCCTGTCTTGGGCCTTGACAGCAGCATCTTCCAATCTCAGCTGCTCCTCTGGAGGACAGCTCAGGGGTTTGCAAGTAGAACTCTCAGGAGCAGGTTTCCTGAGAGACTCAGAGGCCCACACTCATGGTGGAGAGTAGACAGAATTGAAGCAAGGTCTGGCCAAGATGTCCCTTGTACCCTGTCACCCACGGGCCATCTAATAGCACAACCTTCCCCTGAATATCACCGTGTTCGGTTACTTGTCTCTGCTGTGGGATCCGCTTAAATCCAACACAACTCAAACACTAGGTCAATGCAGATGATGAAAATTGATTGTAATCAAGCTGCTGCTGATTGACCAGGGCTGCAGAGCAGATTCGGAGCTGAACTGCAGCCCTGAAGGGGCCATGTTCAGCATATTTAAAGAAGGAAGCCATAAAGTGAGTGGGAGAAGGCTGGGCTGTGGCATTGTCAGTCGTATCTGTCATAAGAGGTTGAGCAAGGGAGTTTCTGTCAATCTGGGCCTGAGAACATGAGCTTAGTTGATGGAGAAGTTGTCCTTGAGATGTGCTGGACTCAGACAACTGTCTCCTTACAAGTTGCCCCTGAGATGTCTGGACTTAGACAACTGTTTCCTTACAACAGAAGTTGTTCAGCTATTGGGAAGTCCCCAGCTCGCCTAGGGCCTGGGACCTTGAACTTAATTTCTCCCTATGACTAAATGGAATCTGAAACCGAAACGGTAGTACCTAGAATGCGTCTCTTCTGCTCGTCCCCAACAGTCTCAAGCTGCTCTTGGCTGCTGGGGCTGGGGCTGTCTCTACCACCTCCACGGTATCTCAGGATCCTGGCACTCAGTTCAGGTTCGGAAGAAGGTAGATTGGGTGGCCCTGCCACCTCACTGCAGACGCCAGATAATCACGATGAGGACAGTCTGCTGCAGGACACAGCAGCACACAGAGAAGACAAAGCCCACAGCCACCAGAGCCTCCAGGAGGAACTGGCAGGTGAATGATCTCAGCCCGACATGTGAGGCTGCCTCCTTTGGTACTTTGTTACAGCAGCTAGGGTGGCTCCCCTGTTCCTCTTCCCGTCAGGAACTATCCTCAGAGACCTCATTCTCCCAGGATGCTCATGCCAGGAAGCTTGTCCTGTGCACTTACTCATCCATCCATTCACTTACCCATTCATTCACTTATTCATTCACAAATCCATCATGTCACTCACCCACTCATTCATAGTCAGGTGCTTCATCATCTCACAAGCACTCAAAGGAATCCGACCAGTCCAGAGCACCCCCAGGAAGCAGAACCCGTGAGGCCAGGAGCCGGGCTGGCTGACCATGCACTGACAGACTAAGACCCGGGAAGCACAGAGCAGAATTCCATGTCCCTCAGCTGGTCCCCAGCTCTTTTTTGCATAGGGTGGATGCACCTCGGGGTTTCAGACTCTGTGCACCTGTGAGGACAGATGCTGTCCAGATGTGTGCCATGAGAACCAAAGAGCCCCAGGTGTAAAGTTCTTCTGGCCCTGGGCCCTGGCCTCCTATGAAGTTTTAATATCCCAATGGGATGCTCCCAGGGGCAGAAGATCTGTGTGAGAGAGATGGTATCCCTACCAGGCAGCTGGCCAGAGTCTGAGTCTGAGCAGCCAGCTGTTCTGTCCTTCTCTGGAAAGAGCTGGAACTAGCAAGAGACAGGGCTCTTAGGCTCCCTCGAGCCACAGGTAGGGAAGAGCCTCTGACTCTACATGCACACCTGTGCCTCTCCCCAGCTCCCTTCTCAGGACAGTAGGGTTAGACAGGAGCCTTTGGGGACTTCCAGCCTCCTGGTCCTCTATGCTAGTGCAGGAGTCCTGTCAACCAACGAATCTAAGCACACATCCCCTCCAATTCCTCATGTGGGATGAGGCTCAAGAGTTCAGACTTGTCTCCACATTCCAACACAGAAAGCCAAGCGGGATTTGCTGGGAAGCCAGGTTATCTTGACGGCCCTGTGTGTGGTAGCCAGGGCCTCTCCCCAGGGCTGTCCCTCCTACATACTCTTGCTGACTTCATGCCAACTCAGAGGTAGCGTCCACCCTTTTCAAGATGTAGGACACGGCCATTCGCAGGTGGGCTTGGCTGCAGGAGGAACCATGGCCCTGGGGCCCACCACTTTCCAGTCCTCTCCGGAATGATTATGTAGATGGCCAGCAGTCTAGAGGGAATGGTGGGCTGCGGTTGGGGAGGGCTGAAGTCCCGCTTGCCGCGATGGCTGGCTGGTGCTCTCCTCTCTGGGGGTATGGAGAGGAGAGGCTTCCCGGCCTCTGTGTATGAAGGAAAACTAGTGTCTATCCCTGAACCTGAGTCAGCAACCTGGTGTCCCCCTGCCTCCCGAACAGTGTGCTGTGCTTTCTTTGTTCTGAGACAGGACCTGAACATCAGACTCTGAAGGCAGGTCCAACAGCTCAGGAGCAGGGAACACCCCCTCACCTGGCCCCAGGTGAGAAAACAAAGCCAGTTTCAGTCTAGTTTTGTCTCAGGAAGGAACCTCTGAAGCCCATGGACACTGGCTACCAGGGTGTTCACAGCTCCCACATGCCAGGCCCTGCCCAGCTGTGTGCCTGGCTGTCACCAGGCCACTTGTATAAAACTGTAATTCCCTGCAGACTCTCTAGTCCCTGCCCCCAGCCTTCGTCTTTCTACAGATGCCCTCGGTTTCAAACGTGTGCTAAGCCTAAGCCCCGTAGCGGTGTTTCAGGCACTGTCATCGGATAACAATACCCCGGCA